GCCAAAGTCCGTTGTACAGAAAACGTGCCATGTCGATCATATATTAAAATCAGTCACTGTGAAATGTCGTCCGACTATTATCGCCACAAAATTATACTAATGATCGGCAAAATTTTGCACCACAAATTTCATAAAATTTTTTTAAATAATGTTTAGATTGAATCTTTTTACAAAAATAAAAACCATCAACAATTTCGATACAATAAATTGCTTAAGATACAAATCTTCCATTGTTTCTCAAATCCCAACACCATTTACAAAACAAACAAATATCATGTATAAGCCTGCCTACCCATTATCAAATCCAAAGGAAGGAGATCTTAAACCAACAGCTGGTAGAAGTGTACCTGTAACAAATAATAATGTATTACAATCTTATAGGCGTGTAAACACTATACTTTTTCTTAATAAAACAAGGCTTGAGGCAAGAAGAAATAGATATTATGAAAAACCAACTGTAAAACGTAGACGAGTAACAAGAGAAATTTCTGAACAACGGTTCAAAGAAGCTGTAAAGAAAAAAGTTTCATTGATTTTGCAAATGAAACAAAGGTAAAAAAAATAATATATCATTTTGAAAATATATTGAAATAAATAATTAACTTGTTAAATCATTAATTATAGAGGAGTATAAGCACAATATCTTTTACTATTTAAGGTAAAAAAATAATTCAAGTATTTTTTAAAGTCAGGAATTATTCTCTTGTTTTAACTTGTTCTCTAAATACCTAACATAACACTTGCTCAATACAGTGGTTTTTATACATCACACATAAATGACTGTATAAATAAAACAGAAGTAATGATTCATTAAATTTATAACCAATATATCAGCAATCAGATTATTTACTTTGCCTCCAAAACTGCAACAACACATTGTGGGCTAAACATTTCTTGTAAAGTCACAGCAATATGTTTTGTTTTTCTGCAATTCTTTGCTAAATTTGAATATACCCAATAACACATCTATTAGGAATATATCCAATATTTGTCTATAGAAGAACGATTTAGTAATGAGAAAGATATTATAATAAGATATGAGAAAGTTATTATTTGATTAAATAATTAATTAATTGCAACATTGATATTCACAATCAATGATAACAGCAATGATACATATATGTTTTAATATTATCTCATAATCACCTTCAAAAAAAAATTTTTCTTGTGCAAGTTTTTCACATATCAGGATTTTCACCAAGACATTCTATAATGGTTTTTGCAAATTTGTTTGTTTTGTAAATTATATTAAATGTGATGATATGTGTGTATGTGTGTGCAAGTATAAAAAAATACATCATGAATGAATCCCATATCTCAAATATTATCACAATTAAATTTCAAAATATTGTAATAATAATAAAAATAATAATGAATGGAGAGAACTTCAATCAATAGTCTAATCATTGTACTAGCATCCAAATTACTTAAATCAAAGTTGGCTTCTAGAATGCTCCAGGCAATTCTGAGATATGCTTGATATGATTCATTGTTATCCAAATCAGCTATTTACTATTCTGTTTACAAATCTTAGACATCTGAAACACTTAAGAAAATAACTTGTTTTCAACTTTTAAAATTGGATGCTGATTTTGATCCAAATAAACAGCTTAGTACTATACCTATAACAATTTTGAGTCTAACCTGTTTTGTTAGCACAGTCCTATCTATATTCCAAAAATTTTAAATATTAGTTTCAGTTTTCATGGAAATTTATTATAAAAAAAAAATGGCAACAATTTTAAATTCTAAACCAACTATTTTCCATCTGCTTCTACTACTATTGCACTATTTCTTCACTTTACTTGGTTGTGATTCTATTTTTTAAAAAAAATTAAGCAATCATGAATTTTTAGCCACAATTATAAACTCAAAAGGCCAAGAACATCATGATAGTGAAAAATTCGAAATCCAAAATAAAATTAAATCAAATTTGAAATTTGAAATTTGAAATTCTGAATTAAAAAAAATATTGCTTTTAAATTATGTCAAGCAATTTTGATTCTCAAAGTCTTTATTGTCAAATTCTAAGAGCACTAGAAGACCTCCTGACATTGTTTGAATAAAAATACCCTGGCAAGTATGATTCCACCTGTATATTTCAGGGATTGGGGATTGGACTAACTTTGGGCACCACAATATTAATAAAAAAGTACATCCTTGGGAATTTATTGTATTTAAAGACAATTTTCTCAATGATTTGTATGATAAATATCAGTTTTTGGCACCAAAATGAAGAGAAGGCCTTGGAACATAGATGCTATCAAAAATTGTTTCAAAATTTATGATCCTCAACATTTTTTATATAAAATAAATGCTATTTGGTTTGTTTTGATCAAAGAGTCATGACTACTATTAAAATTAATTTTGCTATTTTGGCATTTCAGTAATAATTTATCAAGAGAGTGATTTTGGCCAACATCCTATACCCTGGAATATATTATACAGTATTTATTTATGTTTTTTTGATCACCCTTAAATATTCATGTTAGTTTTTTATTGATTCAAAATATGTATCACATGAGCAGGTTTAATATTATGCAAATAATTTCCTATTCAACTTCTGGTTTAATTGCAACACTGTAATGAAAAAAGACATTAAGTTTATCAGCAATTGGCTAATAAATATTCAAATATCAAAAAGCACTATATTAGATCCTGAGTTTATTTGTGTTTGTTTTGAAAGTGACGCGACGCGAATTGGGTTTAAATTGAGTACAAAACACGCATTTAAACAACTGCAATAATTTTCCAATTATTTTTGTTACACACTGTATCTGCTATCAATTTGGCAGCATCAGTAATTAAATATTCTTTAGCCAAATCAAAAACAATTATTGATATTGATAATCACTTTTTAAGTTCTGGTGGTTTCAACAAATTTATTCAGTGGCAAGAAGATTTAGCTCACAAGCTACACCACTTTCAAATGGTTTATTATTTTTGGCATTTGACAATGAACAAAAGGGACAAAAAAACTACTTAGACCGTGGAAATAATACAGTAATTTTCCATACTGTTACAAGTTTTATTTCATTTAATTTTGATCCCACTAATAATATACAGGTTATTGAGGACCCTTGGTTACATCAAAAATTAAATTCATTACAGATTCAAGAACTTTTTGAAATCACACCAGATATGCAAGCATTGCTTGATAAAGAACTTCAAGATTATCTATCTGTTATCTTAACTGATGCATGTGAAGAAAAAAATAGTGAACTAAATCTTATTGATAATCTTATTTTAAATAATTCTACTATAGGAATATGGTAAAAATATTATTAACTTAACAGTATGCTAATTAATACCTTGATTATTTTTTTAAAGAATAATCAGATTCTGATATTTGCTGAATACCCCATTACCCAATTTGGCATCATTTGACCAGTAAAGAGAGAGCCAATAGATTATATATAAGCAAAGAAAGATGGGAGCACAAAAGAATTTTAAATCATGCACAAACATAACAGCTTGATAGCTTGATTGACATAGTGGTACCATCTTGCAATTTTTTTATTGTATATTTTAAATATAATTGATCATATTTCTTTAACAAAACAAACATGACTTGGCTATTTAATCATTTCCTTCATTTCCTTGTATGTGAATGCCTCCATCCATCAAATATTCATGATGGTCATGATGATTATTTGATACATTTGATATCATCATTGACATAACAAACAATTGCATCGCCCAGGTAGTAATGATACCAAGGCCACACATAAACAAAACTCTTAATAATGCATGTCTACCCAGATCTCTGGGGTTCACAAAATAAATTAATTTTCCTGATTATCAATTATGGTTCCTTATGAATAATAAATCTGATGTTGATTGCATGTGTCAGATTTAATTAAAATTTTCCTGTCACAAACATGCAAACTCCGTGCAATTAAGCACCATTCAGCACTATGGGAATTTTTTCCACAGGTGAATGCGATTTGAACAAGTTGGAAGGCTTTGGACAAAACTTTCCTAATCTTCCTTTCAGACCAGGCTTGGCTGTCACCATATGGGCATTGATTGCTGATAGCTGGCATTTGTGTGATAATTGCTGCATGTTATTGCCACACTAGCATAAAAGTTGCTGTTAAGACTGGCTTGAAATTTCAGCAACTCAGGAGGTTGCAACCTGGATTTTCCCTGGATTCAGAGTTTTGAGTCCTGGGTTGCTGTAATTTTTATGAAAAGAAAAGTATTAGTATTTAACAATTAATTATTTAAATGTTTATTTTGTTGAAAAAAATATACATTGATAGTGTACATTTTCTGTGCTTAACATCCATGTGACCCTAAGTCTGGACAAAAGATCCCTTTCTATGAGTTTGGCTGGTATATCCCAAAGGCATCCCCTGTCTTGTCAGTGGCATGCCTACTCACCAACAACCCTACCCCATTTACTAAAATAACAAATTCAGTTGGTCAGACAAAAATTAAAGAAAAACAGAGCATTTAGGAAAATGATTATACAAAACAAACACCATTTTACGACTTTCCTCTTAACATCAGAGTCCGGATGCAATTTCAGGGCCACCAACCCTGCTCTGAATTGTAACCTCCTGGTGCTTGAAACAAGTTGCAGATTCTTGTTGCTTTGATGGATCCGGATGTTTATGCGCACCTAATATTACAATTCATCAACAGAGTTGCGACTTGATCATATAGCCATCCTTGCTCTAGAGATGGGATCGTTGCAGGCGAATTTTCGGCTAGCGTGCCAGCAGCCTTCTCTGGTCTGGAAAGATTAGTGAAAGTGTCATTGACGATTGATACAGTCTTGATAAACTCCAGGGCCACGCGCCTCCCCCCTGGAATTCGGTTGCATAATCATATCCATAGGGCGAAGCAGGTCAGATTAGCCTTATGTACACGAGGAACATGTGTGAATGACTGTAAATGTGTTCAAGGTAGCGTGCGTGCTTCAACGCCTGTAAATTTCCGATAATCAAACATTGCATATTTGAATTGTTTCTTTTTCAACAGTCAGTGCTGCCTTGACATCTTGTAATTATATATTAATATTAGTATTATTATTATTATGATTACGAAAAGCAAAATATTATCAATGAAAATCTTGTAATTACTCAGCAAGATCTGTTCCGTGTTTTGATTCCAATTAAAATATTTATACTAACCAAAAAATATCAATACAAATAAAAAAAAGTACCTCTGGTTAGTTATTAACACGTATTCTTTAGGAGACCCAAACCAAACCAAACCAAACAACAACACTCACATTTTGTCACCTTGGGCTCTGTCAAAAAATAAATTGTTTTTCCAAAAAAAAAAAAAATCAATTCGCGTCTGTCCTACCAAAAAAAAAAAAATTAATGTGTACGCGTCGATCACACAAACTTCATTTTTTAAAAATGTCTCGTAATAAAAGAACCAGAGAAAATGATGCTGTAGAAGCAAAAGGGTAAGCGTTTTAAGGATGGTGGTGGTGGTTATCGCCCGCCACTCATCGTTACTCTTGTTAAATAATAATACTTGTCATTATTCATGTTTTTTTTCTTCTTACAATATGACAGTCAAGTTAAAAAGGGTAAAGTAAAGATTGTTGATTGGTCAGATGAAGATGATTGGCAACCAGCTTCAATCACAACATATTTAAATAAAACATCATCTAATCAACAACAACAACAAGAACAGCAACAACAAGATCAACCACAGCAACAAAAAATTGAGGAACCTCGGCCAGCCATATGGACCAGCTTGGTCCATAATGGGGTTTGTTTTCCTCAGGAGTATGTCCCTCACAATGTAAACATGAAATATAATGGTATGGCGTTATATAATCTAGTTTTCTTTTTAATGCATGTGTATTTGAAAATATTATTATTGTTTTTGTTATAATTTTTTAATTATATTTCTAAACTTTTACA